AAGGAAACTTGAAAGGCTTTTTATTCCTGCTCTGTAACAAAGGTCATTTATTCCCTTTATGCTGTTCAGCCAGTTCAGGAAAATGTTGGCAGTAATCAAGCATGTAGAAGCCAGATTTTGCTGTCTTAGGCTGTCTTCCAGAACGTGGAAATGTACCTTCCTTGGTGGACCTCGAGCGACTGTTCGGTTTTACAGGGTTTATTAGAGCATCAGCATTTGTGGATGTAATTCCATAAAGGCTTTTGCAGCATAACGCATGTCCTGCAGTAACATCCTTCTCAGAAACAATCTATTCCAAATTAGAGTGTTCTATTTTTAGGCAAAGAAAAAAAAATGTCATTTAACGAAAAAAAACAAAACTGAGAAGGGAGGGAAAGCTTTTCAGCTGTTTTGGAGTTAAAGTCTGGGAAAATATTTTCTACGTTTAAAAAGGGATTTTTTTCTTAATCTAAATCATTGAAATATCTCCTGTGGCTAGTTATTTATGGAAGTTGGCTGCTTTTTAAGTGAGAAACATGGCAGTGAAAGCAATGACTGCTGTAGCCGAGCGGATAATGATTTCCATTGCAACCCTTCTCGTGAAAGTCACCCGTAACTTGCTAAAACATTCATGCTGCCACTCAGAGCTCCCGCGTCTGTTGTCCCTTCCTCTGCCTGGACCCGCGCACCATCCTGCCGAAACGTGGACTCTGCCCCGCCGCTGGCATCTGTCAATAGATTTAATCGCTGTCCCGAGGCCTTGATCTCTGTGACGGTGTTTTGTTTCAAGATGGTTCCAACCTCTCGCTGATTAGTTTACCTGCTGGGGAGAAAGGAACAGGGGTTTATTCGTCATCGGAGAACTTTCTTTGCGTTTTCATTTGAAGATCGCAACAACCGTAGAAATGGCTGGGAAGCTGTTGTTTAGTTAGAAAAATAGCCCTGTCCACTGCGTGATGCTAAGTAGGGCAATACTGCTTAGACGATATTTAAGGTGAATAACTCATCTAGGAAATGCATATATGTGAGGAGACAATTAAAAATGTGGAAGGGTCTTCTCTCCTGCTTCTGTATGTGTGGAATTGATGATTGTTAGGTCATTAGGATAAGTTTGACTGACTATGCGATCTTAAGAAATACAAACTCTTCTCTGGTCCCAGGTGACTTTTGCTAGGTAGGCAAGCATGCTTCGTGCGTAAAGCCTTGTGACTTGCGGCATTTTTAGCAACCGTGAGACACTTTGTTGAGAAGCAGTTGGTTTAGGCAGCGGTGTAAGACTTAAGTGCACAGAAATCTTGTTTATATAAAAATCTAATTTATTAATTAACTTCAATGTGCATCACTGTATTTGGCAATTTTAATTTTTTTCCACTGTAACCTTCAGATGAGTATCTTTGGCTTAAAGAAGAAATAAAGCTTTTTATGTAGGTATTACCTGTAAACCTTGCTAGGGTTTTATAAATCTCTCCATAATAGTGAGTGGGAGACGTTCTGTGATGATCATCATTGATCCTGCCAGACTTGTTGCTTGATGTCTTCAATCCAGCTGCAAGGCCAGAATTTCCCAGCTGTCCAGAGGAGCAGGAACCGCCTGAGTTCATCGAGGCAGGATCTCAGCTCTGCGGTTCTTCCAGGTGCCTCCACACTGATGTGTATCTGCACCTTCTGGAAGGATTAAACCCATCTTCTCTCTCATGGTCCATAAAACTTTTATAGGAGCGTTGCATCCATGCAGGACAAAGTGGGTACTTTGTCACTGCTTGTTAATCCTGGTCACTCCGTTACCAACTAAATATCTCTAAAGTTCAAGTAAGCACATTTGAAGCATAGTCAGACTGCAGCTGCAGAGGTTTTTGCATCTACCGCTTGACTTCAGCAAAAAGATACCACGTGCAGTCCAGTGTGAACACTTCTCACTTCCCCACCAGTCAAAAGGAAATACTTTAACATGTTTCTGGCATTTTAGACATGTTTTTGTCTCATTCCTGTTCGGCCTGCTCCCTTCCCCTTTTTGCTCACTGGCAGGTGGGAGACAGGTTTCTTTCCCTTGCCGACTTAAACTCACTTTTTATGAACCTTGTCTGAAAGAGCTGGTGTTGGGGGGAAGATTCTCTGAGTCATCATCTAAGAGGAAAGGGCAATGTAATTTTGCTGACAAAATGGCCACTGATGATGCACTCATGCTTTGTGCTTATTCCAGGCAAAATTGTGACTGTTGCCACTTAGTGAGAGTTTCTTGGTGTCTCTGAACTTCTGAATCAGGCAGCAGGAGACGAGAACTCAGGTTTGGGAATCGAAGCTTGTATATAACTGGGCATCCCTCTGTGTCACAAGGCACGAGGTTTCACCTCGGCTTCCCAGCCCATGAAACGGGGATAACCCATGCTGGCTTTCCTCCTGAGGAAGGGAGAGGAGCGTGCGAAAGCTTTTACATTTCCCAGATGTGAGTTGTTTTAGAAATCCTAGCTCTTGAGCTGCTTCCCAGCCTTTTGCAGTTGAAAACAAAGTAGTTACCATAATTATGTACTGAAGAATTTTTATTTGAAGTGGATAATCTCGTAGTGTAATTTTCTTGACTGGCTTTCAGAATGAGATGAAATGTTTGCTGTCTGTGCAGGATAGCCACATTTTTTTTTTCCGCTTTTACACAGCGCACTCAGTGCTCTTGTATTTTATATTTTTCCAAAGGAGGATATCGTTTCTGTGTCCTAAAAACCTACCTCATCCTGTTAAACTGTCTTTTGATCACAAGCAGTCTATTGCTTGTAATCACATGCAATCAGGAGGGAAACTCCTACCTGAGGCATGTGCTGACATGCAGCTTTCCAGCAGCGTGGGGAGACGGAGCAGGCTCGGGGAGCGAGCAAGCAAATCCGGACAGCTTATGGAGTGAAGAGAAGATGTCAAACGTGAGTTTACCAAACTTTTGGAAAGGAATGTTAGTATCGAGAATGATGTTCCTGAAATGGTCATTTCTCGAGCAATTCTTGAGCAAAGACAATTAGCAATTGCTTGTACAGCGTTTTTTCCTGCAGTTCCAAAACAGGATATCCGGAAGGACTACAGACAAGTTAAAATGTGTTTTCTGATACCTGTACTGCTAATAGCAGCTGACAATCCTGCATCCAGTGTTTCAAAGATGCTACTCAGATAATGTAAGGTACTTCTCCCGGGCTGGATTTTTCACACCATCTTGTTTCAGTTTTTAGTCCTCATGTCCCAGTACAGCATTGCCACATTTGTAAGTAAATTCTCTGGGAGATAATTTGCATTAGGCTCTTAACATTTTTTTTGTTTATTAGTACGAATTTTATCATTAGTTTGCTTGCATTTGCAACCTGATTTCTGGACCTACATTCCTTTTTGTCTCCCATTAATTAGGATTAGGATCCTGTTGTTGCTTTTTTCACTGTTCACTGTTGGCAGAGCTTGTGCTTGCACCTTCTATTAACTGTGCCATGGGTTGGCCTAAAATCCTTAAATATTCCTGTGTGTTGTTACATATGCTTGTGGCTTTAGATTTGGGAATTGAGTATAATTTTATAAGTTAGACAAAAAAGTGAAGATTTCCATATAGCTTTCTTCCATGTGAGAAACACGGAAGGGACACTAGTGTTGGGTAGTATTTCAGCTGGCCAGAAGAAATCATCTTTATGACAAATCTTGATGCGAATTTGTTCTTCAGGTACTTAAAAAGGCTCCTTAAAGTGCAGAAATATTTTTCATGAGATGTATAGCAGACTATTCACCATGTCTGCATCATGTGGCCATAATCTTTATTAGTCAGACACCGTGCTGTAGTTATTGCTTGAGATTATTAATAGATCAGGAATTTAAAGATACATCTTAAAACACCTCTAAACAAGAAGTCAAACCCGTCTTTGAAAGCTTTTGCTAAACACACACACAATCAGCCAAACAGTGGGGTTTTTCCTGATTTCTGCCTTCTCTCCTCTTACCTCTCTCTTCCTCATTCTGGAGGCTCAGATTCAGCAGGATTCAGGTCCTTCCCAGTCTGAAAATCATGCTGCGCTTTTTGTGTAATGCATCATGAACTCTTTTCTGTATCTCTTCACCTTTTAGGGCAGGTTCACCCCCATGTCCGTGCTTTTCCCCCCCTGTCCCTTGCAGCAGGGAAGAAAAATACTGAATATTTTTGGAAGAATGAGTTGTTGCAATGTCACCCACTGCCTTCATGTGCAGCGCTGTAGGATTAGTGCTCGAGCTGCTAGTGGATGCCTTGAGCTTTACTGGAGGGCACCAGGTCCCACAGCATGGCCCTGCCGGGAGGAGAGGGAAAAATTGCAGTGGTGCGAGAAGATAGGAGGGAATGTAACAGAGCAGCTTCTTAAGCATCTGGGATACCTACACTCAAATATGAGGAATAAACAGAAGTATTTGAATTCCTAGTGCTTAGCCATAGCTGTGATTCATCAATGTGATGGGCATCTGTCAACCAAAGGTCAGGCTTGTTGTCCCAGACGAGGATAACTTATGCAGAGAGGTTGGGTGGAGGAAGAAGGAAGAACCTGGTATATATACATATATATGTAGACTATTCATGGCCTGTGTGTAAGCCTGAAGTTGAGGAAGAGGTGAGAGACAAGCCGAGTGAATGGCTGAGTAATGAGCGAGAAGGGAGTTGGGTGATGTTATCCTGGGCAGGGACGATCGGATGGGGCTATCTGAAGTGTGTACTGCAGAGCCTGTTCATCAGGAAAAGGTGGTGGGAAGGAGGGGAAAAGGGGGTTTGTTGGTTTTGAGTAGCAAGTCTGCAGAAAAGAGGTCCTGGCAGAAATTGGGGGGTTGATTCCTTAGGTAAGGGGGAGCAAAATAATGCAGCAGGACAGGCAGCCCATTGGAGTCGTGGACCATGCTGGGGATAATCCTTTGGTTCCGGAAGAAGCCTGCAGGGAGAGCCTGGCTGGGAGGAGTTTGTGGACGCTGAAGATCGACCTCAGTTGGTTAAAAGGGATCACTAAGCAATGGGTTTTGCTTTTTGGAGGGAGGGAAGGAAGGAAACGGCACTTCTCTAAAATCCACTTTTCTTACTACCCACATCCCTTATTACTGAACTTCCACAAGCTCAAGAATGACTAGGGGATCTTTGGGGAAGATAACAGAGGACTGGCAGTTAATGCAAGAGGCACATTTTAGAAGGCACAGCAAAAAAGTGCAGAAAAAGGATGGGAAGCACAGCAGGATGTAGCTGGGGCTGCCCTGGCAGTTCGGTAGGATTTCTTGTGCAGCCTTCAGGTTTGTGAAATGTAGTAGCGCAGCACACATGGATAAAATAATGATGCATCATAGCCTTTTTGAATTGCCACCAGCTGTGTTCATAAAAAGTGAAAAGAAAATGTCTATAAATACATTAGAATTAGAGAAAAACAAAAGGAAATACAGGAGAAGTATCCCTCACAGGAGGCGATACCAAAAAAGGCTGAAAGTGCTCGGTGCCTTCTTTGGATTAGACTCCTTAGATTGCAAGAATGTGTTAAAAAAGCAAGGGGGTTTCAATAAGGGGCTAACTACGTGAGGCAGAGTAGGAATCCAGGAGGTAAAAGCAAGTCTGCCCAGCGTGGTGCACGGGCAGTAGCTGTTCAGTGTGCAGCAGGCAGGATCCCGTGAATCCATGTACCTTGTGTCCTAGATGCTGGCATTCACTTGCACTTCTCAGCAGCATTTGCACTTCAGCTGATAAACTGAATGCAAGCTTTGGGCCTCCAGTTGGCCATCGGAGGGTTAAGTAATCCTTCTGGATCTTCTCCGTCCCAACACTTCAGTGAAACAATAGGATTTCATATAGCGTGTAGGATTCAACATAGGAATTGCTGTATCTAACTGATTTTAATTTAGGTGATGCTGTCTCTATGTCTGCCAAATTGCATGTCCTGTGTTGAAGTCCATTTGAAGACTAAAATTGAGATGTCGTAGCTTGCGTGAAACTACTGTTTTGCACATTTCTATTTGTAATATGATTCTCTACAAATAGGCAAAAGCTTTTGTATCTCTAATTTAGAAAACACTGTGGCAGAGAAGTCTTTGTCAAACCCTGGGCCTAACAGTGCCTTTGCTGTTTTGCAAAGAAGAAAATTTCCATGGTATTTGTGTAGAGCACATGTGAAAGCATTGAAGAAACAAACTGATGTTCACACCATTGCTAGTGAAGGAGGCAGTGGCTCTACTCTAGAGCAGAGAAACGAAGACAGAAAATTAAATTACGTGGCCAGACTCTTGGAAAATCACTTATTGGCAACCAGGTGTTAAGACATTTCAAATACACTGTCTCTTTTGTCATTATTTCCAGCTGAGAGAAGAAAAACTACAAGAAGAAAAAGCTTCTGAGGATCTGATTCACAAGTTCATTCTAGATGACGTGGATGTAGGAAAAAGAAAAATGGAAGAACAGCAGAAAAAAGATGAATCTTTAGTGCTTAAAGTGAACCAAGAGTGTGTAAGTAAGCTTGTGCTTCTCTTTCCTATCCAAATCATAGACACGGACTGGTGGCTGAAAAGGTGCTAAGACTCAGTCATGGAACAAGAACTAGTTTTTTTAAGACCTTGACTAGTTGAGCATCTCCTGTTCCTGCCCGTTGAAACAAGGAGCTTTCATCCTTTGACACAGGGAACTTTCCAGGATTATTTGATTGACATCATTGTAGCCCTTGAAGGCTATTCAAGATTCTCGAGAACCATGTTAGTGAGAACTGTTACGACCACTTATGTTATTCTAGAGGTTTCTGTCCCCACTTTTACCCATTGTACTCGTGACGGAAGGTGCAGCTCTTCCAAACCATCAGTTACATCAGTAGAGGTGACCGCCCTGCTTTGTGTATCCTTGGTCTTCAGGCATACGTGCATTTCCATGAACAGATCTCCATGAATGCTCTACCACACCTCTACACCGTGCAGGTGTACCAAACTGTATTCCAGCAGATCCTTCATGCTGAGTTTTGCCTACTTCTCATTTCAGTTGTGAGACTGCGCAGGAAATGCTTTTTAGATTTAAAGACTGATAGGCTGATGTGTGGGTACTGAATAACGTCTTGTAGTACCTTTCTTGTAGGATTTCCTCACATTTCCTTGATCATTAAATTAACTTTCTTCAGTGACTGACAGCTACACATAGGAGCTGTGTGCTTATTTTTGCATTATTGATGCTTTTGGGGCCAGCCTCCAGGGAAGAGAGCTGCACAAGCATGTGTATCTGCTGGCAGGTTGCATTCTTGATTTATGTCCTCTAGGTGTAATCAGAACGCGGGTTTTTTGGAATCTTTAATATCTTTGCAAGAAAGAGCTTTATTTTCCAAGTGATTCTTTTTGTTGTACATGTCAGCTAACTCTTCCTTGATTGACTTCAGTTTCCTGAACGTCTCTCGGATTCAGAGAACGAAGAACCATTCCAGGGCAAGCAAACACATCGGTCGGCTTTTGTTTCCAAGACCAGTGCCTACTCCTTTGCTTTCCTTTCAGGGTAAGATGCCGCGACTTGATTCAAGCTGATTAATGTTCATTAGAGATGTAAATCTCACATTCTTTTGACTGTTGTTCTAAACATACCTGAGATGCTTTAAAGTTAATTTAAATGGTTGTTCCAATCCAAAATAAGTAATAATTTTTCTGGAATTTTAAACAGACTGATTGGTAGAATATAGCATCTGTCTGATTACCTCCTACCTGTTATAAAATCCTGGGGGTTAACAAAGTTAATGTTGATCCCATGAAGCAGAAAAATCATTGCCTGTAGATTTAAATGACAGAAATCATTAAAGTACAAAATTCTGCGTGATGATCTCAAGAGTACTGGATCCTTTTCCAGCACCGATATTAAGAGAGAGCGTCAGCCCCAAAGAGCTTATGATGCAGTGGAAGCAGCCGAGTAACTAAGGGTGTTTTCACAGGAGAAGCCCAGAGGTTTCCATAGCATCATTAGCTCTGACCTCAATTAGTTAAAAGCCGTAGGTGGAGGTGTCAGTGTGTTTAGCCCTTGAACACAGACCAGGTCTCTGTGGTAGATCCAAGATTCCTGGATCCCTTTACCCTGAGGGCATAGGAGGCACCTCGGGTGCTGCCAAGGCTGATGCCTCCCCCACAGGTAGCTGCTGCCAGGGCTGTTGGGCTGGTTGTTCCTAAGGTCATGAACAATCTCCTGTTTTCACACATCTGCTTTTCAGGAACCTAACCGCCAAGGTGGAAAGGAGTCGGAGCTGCAACGACACCATTCAGGAGAGATCAAAGAGCAGGCAGAGATCAGCCCCAGCCAACAAAACAAAGGTACCGGCTGCGTCTGGAAACATAGGGTTTCTATGTGTAACTGTTCTTATCTGAGGTTACACGGCGCCAGTAATCTGGAGATATAAAATACTGTGTTTGTGGCGCTGCTAGTGCTGTGTTATCGCCATGGGGCCAATCGTTTCCTTGCAGCTCACACTGAAAACCTGCTAGGTTAGAAGTTACTAAGCAGAAAAGTAGACAGCTTGCAGTGTTGTTTGTTAGCATTGGAGGATAATTGGCAGTTGGAAGGGTACTCGTCATGCTTTTGTTCTGTAATTAATTTTCTTTTCCAGGATGAATCTCCAGCCAATTAAATAAAAAGCCTTTTACAAGTTTAGAGAAATACCCTCTCTTCATCCCCCTTTCTCTCCTGTTCTTTCCAAAGATGTTTAAAGAGAGCAAACCTCACTGCTCTCCTGATGTTGGGATACTTTCTTTTGCACTTCCATGCTATGGGAAGAGCTGGCCTGGTCTTGCTTTAGGATAAGAGGAAATGGCCTCAAGTTGTGCCAGGAGAGGTTTAGATTGGATATTAGGAAAAATTTCTTCACCGAGAGAGTGGTCAGGCATTGGAACAGGCTGCCCAGGGAGGTGGTGGAGTCGCCATCTCTGGAAGTGTTCAAAAAACTTGTGGATGTGGCACTTCAGGACATGGTCTAGTGGGCATAGTGGCATTGGGTTAATGGTTGGACTTGATGATCTTGAAGGTCCTTTCCAGCCTTGGTGATTCTGTGATTCTGTGACTCTCTGCTTCCCCTCACATCCAGCAGACCAAGTGAATTAACCGTACCTGTTACCCTGTGCAACAGGCCTGACTTTTCAGTGCACCACAGCGCTTCAGAATGAGCGGTGATCATGAAGCACCGCTGAAAATCTGAGCCAGAGGTTTTTCAGGCTCTTCCAGCAGTAATTGCTGGGTACGTTCCACTCGCAGAATCATAGAATCACAGAAGGGTTTGGGTTGGAAAGCACCTGAAAGATCATCTAGTTCCATACCCCTGCCATGAGCAGGGACACCTTCCACTAGAGCAGGTTGCTCACAGCCCTGTCCAACCAGACCTGGGATGTTTCCAGGGATGGGGCATCGACTACCTCTCTGGGCAACCTGGGCCAGGATTTCACCACCCTCACAGTGAAGAATTTCTTCCTTAGATCTAATCTAAATCTGCCCTCTCTTAGTTTAGAGCCATTACCCCTTGACCTGTCACTCACTGGAAACAACCTTTGCAAACGTCTTCCCTTGCGCCATGTCTGGCAGCACCACTGACCCCTCTGGCCCCGCTAGCAGAAGCAAATTTTGCACGCTCGCTCTTGTACTCTTCTCTGTCTCTGATGCCATACTCTGCCTCCTTTCTGGTGGGCCTCTCCGGCCCGTGGGATTCTGGTGACTGGCATCAGCAGCTTAAATCATGAGCTGTGAGTTCTCAGCCTGGAACTGCTCCGCCAGGGAGGCTTGCAAGGACGTTCCACCGTTTTGTGCTGACAGCCCTCCTCCTTGGGCTCAGCTTCATCCCAGATAGAGAAGGGGACTGTTCAATTCAATTCAATTCAGAGCAAAAGCCTCTGCCATCCTTTAGAAGGTCAGTTTGATTGGGGGATGTTGCTTGGAAAATTGTAAGATCCTCACTGGGCACACTGAGTTGACCCCAGTGATACCTAGCTACACATCTCTGAGGTTATGAGCATGGACAATGGTCCAGTTCCCATCTAAGCTGATAGGAGCTGGACTGAGCTCAAAGCAAGGGTCTCTAACTGACCTTCCTGCCCAGGACTTTTCTTTTTTAAGTAGATAACTTATGGACCTGACCATTTAAGAGCTGCACTACAAGGGTGTTCCATAAACTTATTTTGACCTCAAAATAAGCTAGTAGAAACTCTCTTTTGGGCTAAGCAGGAAAAGGCTGTCATTGTTCAAACTAGCTGCTGGATAAAATCATTTCATCTTAGAGAAGAACATTTGCAGTTGTGTATGTGTGGCTTTTATTTCTGGTTTATTTGTGTCTGGATTCTCTGACATTCCAAATGTAGCAGCATTAAGAGATGGTTTTGGAGATGACAAGATGACAAGAAAAGCTGCTCTTAAGCTCTGCTAGAGGCTGTCTTTTAGCTATTCAACCTGGAGAAGACAAGGCTCCAGGGAGACTTTATTGCAGCCTTGTACGAAAAATGGGGACAGACTTTTTGGCAGGGCCTGTTGTGATAGGACAAGGGGTAATGGTTTTAAACTGAAAGAGGGCAGATTTAGACTAGATCTAAGGCAGAAATGTTTCACACGGAGGGTGGTGAAACCCTGGCCCAGGTTGCCCAGAGAGGTGGTCAATGCCCCATCCCTGGAAACATCCCAGGTCAGGTTGGACGAGGTTCTGAGCAACCTGCTGTAGTGGGGGATGTCCCTGCTCATGGCAGGGGGTTGGACTAGATGGCTTTGAAATGTCCCTCCCAACCCAAACCGTGATGCGATTCTGTGATTCTGTCTCAGGCAGTGTCCAGTGTGGTGGCCGCGGTGTGGTCTGGGACCACTCAAGGTTGTTCCACCAATCTGCCTTAGGCACATACACACCCTTTCTCATGATGTTTCGCAGCACAGTGTGTTAAACCTGGGCCAAATATTTATTCTTTCTCTCCTCTGCCTTGGTAAGGAGCAAAAAACCCTTTGGAGATGATTTCCCTTGAAGAGCATGGCTTGCTTCAGCCAGGGTGGTGCAGTGCTGCTCCATTTCTTCTTGTCTTGTCTTGCTTCAAGCTTTTTGCCATCAGAGTGGTTGCCACTTGCTCTGTCCCAGCAGCAAGAACAGCCCTTACACTGAAATAAATTTGAGACCTAGATCATGCTGGCCTCTGATGTCCCCTGCTTGTTATATATCAGCCATGAAAGGTGCCGTGACCAGCAGAGGCTGCCACAGCTGCTCCAGAGAGCTCTCCAGCTGGTCTGCTGCAGGAGCTGAGCATGGTAGCCTCACGGTCTCCTGTTCTCCTCTCACATGCTTGTCTGTATTCTTCTCAACGACAAACTCTTTGAGCTGTGGTGCCTTGCCTTGCAGGTGCCACCCGTCACCAGCTCGTCAACACCGCTGGTTGGAGTTTTGTCATCCACCCAAAACAACCGCTGCCTCTCTGCCCCAGACCTGACAGCAGAGAGACGCCTGGTTCTCAACCCCGTGTCATCCCTCTCGGCCCTGCACAAGCCGGAGCGATCCATCAGCCCCGAGAGCAATGACAGCATCTCAGAAGAGCTCAACCATTTCAAGCCTATCGTCTGCTCCCCGTGCACTCCTCCAAAGAGGCTTCCTGACGGCAGAGTCCTGAGTCCTCTCATTATAAAGTCCACCCCCAGAAACCTAAACCGGAGCCTGCAGAAGCCAACCACCTATGAGGCCAGTCCTAGAATACTGAAAAAATGGGAGCAGATATTTCAGGAGCGCCAGATCAAAAAGACTCTCTCTAAAGCGACCCTTACGTCCTTGGCTTCGGAGCCTGGGGAAGACGTTATAGTTCCTGACATCACCAACTCCAGCAGTTGCACTAAAGAGCAGCCGCAAATGCAGGATGATCACCTTCCACCTGACACAACAGGAGACCCTCGCCCCGAGCTGGATTTCTTTCCTTCCATCAGTGAAACGAAGCTGGGAAGAGGGAGTGAGAAGAACAGAGATTCACAAGCCGTAACAACAGGCGACAGCGCTGCCGAACCAGATGCAAGATCAAACGTCACCTCCCTAAGCACACGAGTGTCCGAAGTCCCTGATCTAAAAGTGAACACATTCATGGACAAATCCTGTCTTAGTCTTGGCTCGAAAATGCTGAGCAGAAGACTCATGGGCGTCGGTGCATCGCTGCCTGACAACAGCACGCTAGGAGTCCCCATCAAGACATCGGGAAAAAAGCAGCTGAAATACCTGAACAACAGCGAATTGATCAACGTGCAGAACAGCACCTGCAATTCCGTTGAGAACATCATCGGGGAACAGCCCCCATCGCTGAGACGGGGCCGGAAGAGACGCTGCAAAATGAAGCACTTGGAGCACAATGGCTCCGTCAAAAGACTGAGGCACACGGCAGGGGAGGGGGGCTTGCCTCCGGAGGATCGCTTGGTACGGGAGATGGAGCAGAAGCTCCAGCAAGAGGAGGAGGACAGGAGGTTGGCCCTGCATCTGCAGCGGATTTTCGACAGCGAGAATAGGACAGTGGATAGGCGGAAAGTCAGAGTTGACCGGTATCTGCTGCGGTCAAAGAGCACTCTGGGTGCTAAGTAGCACTAGTGGACAATGTTGCCTTTCTAGAGGACAATGAGGTTTATCAGATTATCTTATAGGAAAACTATTTTTTGTCATACTTCCACCCACAACGATTGTTTTTTCATTTTGGTGGTAAGACATTTGTAGTCCAGTTCAAAGAGAAGCCAGAGTCCTTTCAGATTAACAAAAAAAAAAAAAAAGAGAGAAAAAAATCCTCCAGCTTTCTGGTCCATTTCTGGTTCATTGGTCTGAAAGAAGCGTCCATCCCTGTGAATACGCTGCAACGCCTCTACGTGCAGTCGGTAACATTTGGGTTCCCCACCTGGGAGGGCTGTGTGAGCAGTATGTAGGGTACGAGGTAAGGACCTCATACATTCCTTGCCTTGCCGCTTCAAGATGCCGAGAGAAATCAGAGTTCTGCTCATGGAAAGCAGGCTTTTTCTGTCATAGAAACAGTCTTCTCCTCCTCTGCCTGCCCCGTTTTCTTCCTTACACTGCAGCTGGCTGTGATGGTCAGAGCGTTACCATGTCAGCGTGTTGGAATGACCTGACTTGAGGACTGGTGGGGAGGGAGGCTGACTGGTATTTCTGCTGGGAAGTACCAAACAGATCCACCCGTCGTACTTAGGAATGAATGTATATGAGCTGTCTGCGCCAGCAGTACGGGTCATAGGTTACTTTAAGTAGAAGGCCGAATGCAGTGAAGAAAGACATAATATAAGGATTTTACTGAAAAGCATTATAGGAACTTGCACATTGATGTTAATGACACAGCAGAGAGCTCGGGTAGAGCAGCTTGGAGCCATGCTCCGGACGCTGTGACCCAGGGAGCAAATGCAGCTTTTCTCCCGGTCCCTGTCTCTTCCGAGGCAAGAGGGTTTCATATTCTTCCCACCAACATTGAAATGTAGAAAGGGAAATGCTGGCCAGGTGATTTCAGGAATTGTAGAATAGTTTGGGTTGGAAGGGACCTTTAAAGGTCATCTAGTCCAAGGGGAAGGACAGTCTCCCTGCTGACATGTACCCTGCGGGTTCTTGCTCAGGTAAGAGATCTCTCAGCACACCTAAGACCTGTCCTTACATGTCCAGGACTGACCAGGCATCTGATGCATCGCCATCCTCTCCCAGGCACCCGATGGGTTGGCAGTAGAGTTGGGACAGGAGCCCGGCCCTCCCGGCCCGCAGGCACACGGACGCGGGTGCTCGGGGCGACGCACGCCTGCCCTGCCCCTGCTCCGAGCTAGCTGTCTTCAGGTTCAAACCACTAAGAAAGCTCAGGTGAGCGATGCACTAAAAATTTCCACTTTTAAGTCATGCAGTCGGGCCCAGCAGGCTGGACCAGAGCTAGCTCGGAGCCTCTGGGCTCTTCTTGTTTGTAACACTCTTCCCCATCATCCATTAGCAGCACAATAATTGCGTTATTTCCAGTAATCGAGCTCGCAGAACATCAGCGTAACTTGATACTTGAAAGCTGCCTTGCAGTGTATTCACTGGGGACCCTCAGCGCCTGCAGGGACCTTCGTCCAGGGCGGAGGCTGCGGCGTTAAGGATCTTGCTGACCCATGTGCCAGATGACGAGTGGTATTTTCAGGATGTAAGTGAAGCACAGAGCTGGGGCAAACTTGCCATGACCCAGGCCCTGAAGGGAGGACATTAATCTGTGCATTTAAACAGATGGATCTGATCTAAGAGAACGGTCATTGCCCAATTTCCTCAATCTAAAAAATGGTTGAATTTCCCCCTCCATCTTAAATGGTTAAAAAAAGAAAACGGGAACTGGTTTTCTTTTTCTCTCCCGGCGTACTTGCATAACTGCAAGGACCCTGGCGCTTTTTTCCTAATTGAACTGGATTTTTTTTTTTAAAAGAAATCTTATATTTTAATGGATAAAATTTATATATTTTAAATACTATATTTCAACAGATTGACACTTTCATTTTGAGAAATCTTATAGCAATGATTCCATAATATATCTCTCTCTCTATCTCTGTATCTCCTTAACACACAAACTACTGGATGTTTAAAGTCGTACCTAGGGCCAGCTAGACCTGGGCTGCTTTGCCTACCCACTGCGGCTCGCGTCCATGCCCTCTCACGCGCCGCAGCCTCGTTAGGTGCTGATTGAAGCAGGCGCTTTTGGCCCAAACCAAACCCTGCTCCTGTACCCAGCTGTGAACTGGAAGGAAATTGAGAGAGGCCTTGACCGGACCTAGAAGAGCGGCACAGAGAGAAGGGGCGATGGCCTGGGTCTGCAGTGATTTCTAAAGAATAAGCTCGGGAGGGAAACCCACAGCTTTTACTCAGAATCCATGCCATTTTTCCCAGCATTTTGAGCTGAAGCGTGCATTTTTCCCAAGTGCATCTAAATTTATAATTATTTTTACAGGCCCCCTTTTCCCTGCTCCTTCCCTGCGGTTAATCCCTTGAGCCCGAATCAGAGTTCCCTAAACAGCTTCCTTCTTTATCGCGGCGCTTGGGCAGTTTTCGTCCAGGCTTGGGCTGCCGGGCGCTGTCTGAGCAAGCCTACACCACAAAAAACTAGATCTACACGCTGAATGTATCCTTTCTTTCCCCTCTTAAAAGAGATTTTGCAGTCCAACGCACCAGGCCAGTGTCTTAAATATCTTCTTTTTTACAAATTACATAAATATTTAGTTTTTTGTGTGTTAATTTCCTCTTTCTAAATCTGAGCTGGGCAGAAGCGCAGGAGGCAATGCCTGGAGCCTTCACTCACTGGGCAGCTGGCTCCCCCCGAAACAGAGAGCCCGCGTCCCGGCAGCGCTGCTCGGCTCCCTAAGCATCACGCATGGTCTGTTGCATCCGCATCGAAGGAGACCTTTGGTCGTGGCGTTGCAGTCACGGCGTTGGACAGGTTGCGGTGGCAGCAGCTTTCAGTAAAGCATCAGGGTGGGATCGATCTCTGACGAGGTTGTGCGCCCACAGGTTTTTTTAGTCCGATGAAGCTGCTGGCTGCATTTCTACGTTCGCTTCTCCACCCAGTTGCTTAAGGACTGGGGAAAACATGGGCCGTTTTCCAGCCGGCTCACCTAGACTCTCTCGCCTTCTTCCTGAGCTAGCTGAGCGGGACTGCCCTCCGCTGAAATCCACCCGAGGTGGCATCGGGTTCAAGACTCAAGGCGATGTGAAGCTAGGTTGAATGTTTTATTAATTTAACACTCTGTAAGTTTGTGTAAGCTTGCACAAAAAAAAAAAAAAATTGTATATAATTACACTTAAAAGAGCAGGAATTCCCAGCCTCTACCCTTTAAAGGTCAGGTATGACGCTACCTTTGCCACAAACAGTGCCAGCTGAGAAGTAAAATACCTCTTGCTGAACAGTGGATGCAGCACAAGATCTAAGATGAAACTAAGTATTTATTTACGCTTATATAAAAGTCATTTCTCACCCTCCTCCTTTCTGCAGCCACCTTCACTCTGGGATGAAGGCAGTCCTTGCCGGCTGTGGGACAGTGCAGGCGGGCGAGCATCCTCCCAAAATGTGAAGCTGTCTTATCTTGTGAGAAAAAAAACCAAAACAGGTCAAGAGAGTGCTCTGCCAGTAGCGCTGGAGGGGCTGGGGTTGGTTCAGCGACAGAAGGACTGTGTCTGCCAAAGATGCCACCGACTCCGGAAAGTTGCTTTCTGACCCTCTGGAGCTCTCTGCCCGGGAAAAGCTGTACAGAAAGGTCCATGTTTGGAGTCAGTGAGATCAGATAAATGAAGGAAAAGTGCCAAAAGAAGGGATCATGCCAGATGATTGTATAATGTTGTTCTATATTGTCAGTATTTTTTCTTCAAATGCTATTGTACATGCAGTGCACAGTAGTCATGAAGCGTAGCTTGAACAAGCGCTTCTATTTTCTCAATGAAAGCAAAGGGGGAGGTTGAAGCCTTAAAGACTATCGCTGATTTTAAAAACAAGCCTTCAGCAATGCTCCGAGGACAGACCCCAGGGCCCCGCTGGGAGCCTCCGAAAGCCCTGTGCCATCTCCCAGTCGTCTGGCAAAAGGTTGACAAGGAGGTTGTCCCGTGTGCGGGGGGAAGCATTTGACAAAGATTTGGCCCCTTTTGCCTGTTTGGGGACCCAAGAGGAAAACTAATGACTGTTGGACGCAGCGGTGTCACCTGGTACTGTGACGGAGACCCATGGGATATCCCCGTGGATGGCAGCTGGGTGGAACTGGGACACGACGCCAGTTTGAAATACAGCGCGGAAGCTGGGATGATCCCCACGTGTCGCACGCATCGGACACAAACCTTTCTTTTCCCCGTCTCCGTAAAACACTGCAAAGCATCAGCTCTAGAATTAGCTCTTCACTATGCAAACAGAAAAACCTTCAGCTGGTGACAAAGGGGGTTTGTGTATGCCTGGTTTCCTTGGTGTTTACTGTCAAACTGTTTAAAACAAATCTAGATGTTGCTACACTTTTTTCCTGATAAACGCTCTAAATCGTCGTGCTTTTGTGTTCTTAGCTCGCCAGCGGAGCACTGGGGTGGTAAAAGACTTACGGTCATTTTGGGTCTCAGCTGAACCACCGTGGCTTCATCTGAATGTTTTAAAAAGTGATGGAAGTTACCGAAGGACTGCTGACTTGCATGTGTAAAATGTGTGGGTAAAATGACATGCAGGCGTCCGTCATGTTGTGGCTTCTGTTATTTGGAACAGAGTAAATCCTGCTTGTGAAAAAATTGTCACAAACCAGAAATATGCCAACTGTGTACAAATAACATGTACATTTTAACAGCAATGAGGACTTGAACTGCAGGACAAAGGCCGAGGTTAAAACAGAATAAAACCAGATTCTGACAGTGAACTACCTGTTTCTGCTGAAGTTGCTGCGCTTGGAAATAAGCAGGATCCTACTGCTGCCTATCGCAAACGGGTTACAGTCACCCCTGGCTGAATGAGGTTGTTGAATAACGTTTTGCAGAAAAAAAGAAAAAAGGGGAAGGTGAGTATAGTGACATATTTGTCATGTAGGTAAGCAGCCAGTGGGAACTGAGCGTCCTCTGTCACA